AGTCGTCAGGGGAAAGCTGCAGAGGTAAGAAATGCTTCTGTCTGCAGGTACTGTATTRGTATAACTGAAAGGTGAGCAAGCAGGTCCTGAAAGGCCTTGACCTGGGACCCCGGCTCGCGGAGCTGCCACCCTCCGATAACCTCCGCAGCTGAAAGAACCCACGAGGTCGGAGGCTATTATTAATGCAGTGTTTTTGATATAAGTCAAGGGTTTATCTGGGGGAGGGAAGCGTGTTCTGGCGATAAGCGCCGCGCTCGGTGAATGCCGTGGCCTTCGCGCTCTCGTGGGAGCCTCCCAGCTCCCAGCACTACGCGCCTGTGCGTGGCCCGCCCCGGTGAGAGGGGCTTTGCTCCGGAAATTTTCGACATCATCTCACAGGTGAAGTTGTTAGATTTCCTCAGAAAAGGCTGTAATGCTATGCCTTCTTAGATATTCACAGCTGTTTTTTTAATTATTTTTATTATAATCTGCCTTTGAATGGCTATCATGTTGTATTAAAGCTTTGTGTTTTTTTAATAACTTTACCAGTTAATTGGGAGCTGACTGGAYGTTTGGAGACCACATAACTGCCTTATGAAAATCTGTATGTGGCTCTCCTGCTTTCCTCTATTGCAGCTATCTGGGATAAGTGACATGCTTTTCCTCTATTTTGGGCAGAAGTCTTTGTGGTACTGAGCTTGAACAGGAGACAAGTGTTCATCAGCTGACTTACTGTTTTGGAGAAGGGCTGTTGAAGTGACAGCTAAGCCTTTGCTAACCCCCAGTAGCATCTGCAGGCAGTTGGGAAGCATCCTAGAAYGATTCCGTTGGAGCTGGAGTAGGTGGAAATTTCCAGCCCGCCACCATCACTAAACCTTCTGGAGTTCAAAACCAATGACTTTCTGCTCTTTTCTTTTACTGTGAAAGTTGCTCTTTAAACTTCGCTGGCTTTCAAGCTTAAAATCAAATGGTTCAGATTAGATAAAATCTTGACAGTATTTCATTAGACTTCTTGAGACAGAGTTCAGTTTTATATTTAGCTTTATAAAATGTATGTGAGCATTTTGGATGGAGAAGTTAAAGAAACGCTGCCTGCTGTAGAGGATGAACAAGCTCCCTGCAGTGCGAGGCTCCTTGAGCTCCGCGCCTTGCGGAGTCCGGCTTCGGGCTGCTCTGCGTGGCCTGGTCTCCCCACACCCTGCGCGGTCTCGTCATTTGACAGGAACATAGTGAGGTGTGTGTTTATTTGTTTTAGTTGTTATTCTTCATAAAAATGTACTCGGTGTTTCTCTCCGAGTGCTGTAGAAACACCGATCTCTCTGCTCATTCCGACATGCCAGTGTGGCCACTGAGGAGAGCTGTATTCCCCAGGAGCAGTTTGTCTCCTTCAGTGTCCTGCTTGCAGTTTATTATACTGGCTTGTAAGCTGCACAAATACAAGTGGTAACGACTGGAATTGCTGCAGCTTTAGTCAAGGACACGTGTTAGCCTGGTGTGCTCACTGCTCTAATCCCTTCAGTATTTGCTTCCGTTATCTTGAGGCAGCCTCTCCTCGAAAGAGCCTTCGTGTCTCTTCTCTGAAGCCTGAAGTATCTGTCAGGGCTTGTTGTACCTTGTGCTGTAAAGGAGTCCAGCTGTGGATTTGGGGATTTTTTTTTTCTTCACCCTTCATTCCAAGGTCATTCTGATATTAGTTAGTAACTTTCAACCTGACATTTGGGTAATGTTGCCTTTGGTAAGTGGGAACATTTACCTGGTGTCTGAAAGACCCTTTATCCTAACGGAGACCAATACTGAGGGTCTTGGCTCACGTGGCTCTGGGAGGTCCCCTGCATTGCTGCAGCCCAGAACTTTGCTGTATCTTTCCAGCACTTCCACCAATGAGAAACTGTGCAGAAACAGGTCAGAGTGGTGCGATCCTGTGGCAGACATCAGTGGAGCTGTCAAATACTGTCAGGTCAGATGAAGAAGGATGGATGCAACTTGAGGTATTAACTTTCCTGGTATGGGCTGTCACGTTCCTTCAGGCCAGAAGGACAGGCTGAGTCGTGGTCCCCTTTGCTTGGGCGATGGACTGTGAGGATGGGGTCTGTAGTTTGTGGCTTAATTTTGTGTTGTTTTGGTTGGTTTTAAGATACGGGAGTTGCATGGAGCTGCAGTTGTGACCAAGTGCTGAAATGCTGCAAAATGAGAAACCTCATCAAGAATGAAGTTGGGGGTTTCTTTGCAAAGCTGTTGCCTTTTGTGTGTTCTTAATAGGGGAACTGTCTTGCAAGMGCTCCTTTAATCAGAAATAGCACATGGAAATTTTTTTTTTTTACGCGCTTCATTATGCAATTCTCTAAAGTTTGTGACTTGCCATCAAAATGTTACTGTGCCTCCACTTCAGGAAGTAAATCTGKTTTTCTTTAGCTTTGCAGTTGGGAGTGCTTAAAAGCTAACACGGTGCTTGGGAGGARCAGCATGTTCGGGGAGCGCCTGCTCTGCCAAAAGGCTTTTGCGGCGGTGCCCTTCTTGTTCCCTTACAAATCATGGCCATTCCTCGGAATTATATTTTGTGGGTTCATGTGAATGCTTTACAAAATTCTATAATCATATTTGTTGTATAAACAATATGGAAGTGTTTGCTTTTTCCTGCTGATGGCKCTGTCACAGGTGTTGAAAACAAAGCAGATTAATAATGGTTGTTGCGTTTTTTAAAAAATTTCATGTTCTCCCTGTTTTCTACTATTCTTTTTTTGATTCTTATGGTGGAATAGAGAATCTAAGTGATTCTGTATATGGTCTGTAAGAATATTATCTTACATATATATATTTCAAATTAGGTTTCCATTTTGTAACTATTGTGTAATGTTGTTGTTTAGTACTTGGCAAAGTGAAAAACTGATGTTTATCTCCAGGCATCTGTTTTTTGTTGTAACCAGTTATTGACCATAATAATTTTCTTTTGGTACTTATTCTCTTAATTCTGTGAGGACAGTTTAGCTGCCTTCCTGAGGGATGAAGGAGCGAAGGAGGAAGCTGGATTTGGAGAGCACGGACGGCGGGAGCTGGATGAGTGGCTGCCGCTGTCGTGGGGAGGTGCAGGGCTGGCGGGAAGGCCACAGTTCCCGCAGGGCTCTCGGGATGTGCAGGAGACGAAGCCTCCCAGTCTGACCCCGAGACTGCAAAAGTCAGCAAACAGATACGGACTTTGTGTTAACTGAGAGAGCTTGCCTTGAAAATGCGCTTTAGAGACTCCTTTGAGAGCAGAATCTTGTTCTGAATTTGAATATAGAGACTTGGTGCTGCTCACACATGTTCATCTTTGCATTTTTTCTGGATTGTTTTTTCCATATTTTCGTAGATGCTGTGGAAAGGAGAAGAAATGGTGCCTGGCTTGGGCCTTTCCTGTGAGTTGCAGCCCAGCGTGCTTTCCCYGGCTCCTTCCCGATTGCCTTGTGCTCTGCTGCTGCACCTAGTGCAAGCAGCGCCGCTTTACAGCAAGCCTTAAATTGCTGCGCGAAACTAAATTACCTCACGCAGTATGTTTGGCTTGGTGTTCATTAAGGGATTGAGCAAAGCGAGGGGGTTGAGGCTGAAGCTGCTTTGAAATGAATCCCGTGTACGTTCAGCGCTCAGGAATGTTGCACGACTGGCATGATAATGCTCTGTGTCTGCGTCGGGAAATGGTGTGTGGTGCACTGGGAATGGGGAGAAATATCCCTCTGCAGAGAGGGATTTGCCTGCCTCACTGCAGTGCTGAGCCTTCTGTAACACTTGCAGGATGAGTTTAATGGGAGTGCAGAGAAAAAACACTACAAGGCAATGGGTTCAGCTGCTAGAGCATTCTTAGATGATGAGGACATTCCGCTTAGGTTTTGACAGAACATGGAGAATTTACAATTATAGAGAGTGAATAATGTGCCTTCACAAATACCCAGAATAGCTTTGCTCGGAGTCATTCTCACAGGTGATTCTTGCTGATACCTGGATTCTACCTGTATCTCTTCTGTAATGACTTCTTGGTGCAGCTGTTTCTTAGAACAGAAATAGAAGCTTCTTGCTTAGGCCAATCTTAATAGGTGTTTTCAGTTGTTATTTTCTCTGTCAATAGTGGGATAATTCCAAAGGTCATTGGGAGTGAGGAAAATACTATGTGATGGTCTGTAAAGTGAAGGCAGATGTGTACTCTTGCAAGAACTTTTTTTTTTTAATTTTGTCATAAGTTCTTGGGGTCCCTGTTTCTATAGGACTCTCACCACTATTCTCCACAAATGGGTAAAAATGGCATTTGTTAGATGAAATTCTCTTTTATGTTTCCCATAAAATAAGGGAAAAAGGATGAAGAAGTTCACTTATGATTGGAAGTTTCTGTTGAGTGTTTCCTTTGGTTTCTTCAGAAGCATCAGTGTCTTCGGGAAGATGTTACCCCTTCCCTGTGCCTAGATTAAATAGCTTTTGACACAGACAAGCACCTTCTTTGGTTAAGAAAATTTGGAACGGATCTTGCTCTGATGAGAGCTCTGAGCTTCAAAGTCAGTAGTGAATCCTGTAACTTTGCAGTCTTCCGAATTTGGAGCTGCTGCAAAATCCCAATTAAAAAATAGTCAATTAATATAGCGACATATTCACAGAATTCAAAGCATCCTTATTATTTTATAAGCAAATCTTGAAGAAATATGTGCTGAGATTATGCTTTCGATTTCAAGAGTGCAAACGTTATATATGAAAAATGGCACGAAGTTCATGTAAATGTTGTTTGTGGGGTTTAGGGTGTGTTTTTGTTTGGTGTTTTTGCAATCTAAATGTCGCCTTAACCCTTCCAACATATTTCAGCCCTTTTAACATGCTTGTTCTCTGAATTCTGTTTTCCTTTCCCTGTTATTCTTTCTCTGGGCGGGGGAAGGTTTATAATTTTTGCTTTGTCTTGGAGATTCTGTGTATTGTGGGAGGTGAGGCAACACTGCTCTTGGCAGCACACCACAAAACCAAGAGAGTAATTAAATGACGCAAGCCTTTGATTATTTTTCTCTCTCAAGCTTTCTGGCGCGGCCGGGCATTCCAATTGCAAAAGAAGGAGCAGGAGAAGAAACTTGTGAGGACTGCACGCAGAACTGGAAGAACTGTTCGGAGGACGGCTCGCAGGTCCCACGCGCTTCGCGCCCGAGTTTCAGAGCTCCTTCCCTTCCCCTGAGAGGAGAATGCTGTTCTCATCGCCCAGGACACAAGTAACTGGACGGGAGCTGCAGAGTTTTTATTTTGGATTCAGTTTCCCTGCTCGCTCTCTAACTGGATTTTCTTCTGCAAGAGGATTATAAAAAGATTGGAGAAGGTGTTTTTATTTTTTTTCTTGTTATTGGTGGTGGAGAGGGTCTAGGGAAGTGAAGGTGGCTGTTTTTTCCCCTCCTTCTTGGTCCAGAGTCCAGTGACTTGGCATTTCTTCCCTGAAGTCACTGCCTGCTGAGAAAAGGGAGAAATAGCCTAACAGATGAGCCTGTAGGACCATGGATTCCTTCCCTCCACAGTTCTTGTATGTGACTGCTTGTAGAGGAGGTTTTTGCACATACAAGCATCAGATGAAGAGCATCCTGGGCTGGATTTAAAAGACACTAACTGCTTGTGCCCTGATGAAGGGATAAATTCTGTTTGAACTGTGATTGAAGGACGAGAGGAGCTTGTTCCTGTTTTCAAATTTGGTCAAAGAAAGAAAAACCCCGATCCACTAAAATACTCTGCCACCCAAAACCTGTGCATTCTACAACTAAAATTGGAAAATGTCTTGGAAGAGAAATTATTTTTCTGTCGGTCGGGGCAACGTGCARGGGATGTTTACGCCACGAAACACAACCTCAATAGCCCCCAGCAAAGGTCTCAGCAATGAACCAGGACAGAACAGCTGCTTCCTGAACAGCGCGTTGCAGGTAAGAGCCCAGAATATGACACACTCCTCTCTCTGTCATCTCTTTATACCTATTGCAATGTTTTCTTAATAGCTCTCAGCTTTAAGCTCAAGCTGTGCTACAGCCAGGCTTGGCTGCAAAATAGTGTGCAGCCCTAGATATAATGTAGCTACGTTTGGAAATGTAGGTTAGTTGTGCTATAGGATGAAGCTGAAATTCTGAGCTGCCTTAGTTGGAGTTATGTTAAAAGTGGCTACTTTTCTTGTGTTACTGTAACTGATGGATATGGCAGGGGGAAAACAGCTTTTTTTTTTTTTTTGAGTTTGTTTTGCATGAGGAAATTGAGTGACAGTATTTGAACAGTCATCAGTTAATGTCGTTGCATCTTTTAGGCACTGTTTGTGTAAACTTCTCATGTATCAGCCCCAAATTAAAACATATCCATTTTAAATTAAAGAGTGTTTTAAAATGCTAAAACATTGTATGGCTTGCAATATGTCTACTGCCTAAAGTATATTGAATTTTTTTACAAGCCAGTCCTGCCAGGGGGCTGAAGGTATCTATTCAAAACGTGTTTTGTGTATTCCAAACAGTGCTGATGTGGAGTTTGGATGAATGAGTCCTTACCTTTGATTAGGAGRAATGACACTTCCTATATTAAAACCTAGTGGAGTGCTATGGCTGCTGTGTTTGTATTGTTGTCATTTGTATATTTTGAGTGCCTCTCCTTTGAGTTCCACTTCTTCTGGCTGAAGGGTTTCAAGTCCTGCCTCCATTTCAGCTTCCATCTCTTTCTGCGTCTTGTCTGCTCAGCACAGGCTGTGTCACTGTGGGCTCCCAACTAATTTCAGGCTTCAGGATAATCCTGTGTAGCAAATAATGCAAACAGAGCACTAGTGACCCTGACTAGGATTAATATGCTGTGAAACACAGGACTGGGAACAAAGGGAATTTGGTGCAGGAAAAGTGGGGTTTCTGGTGATGCTTGCTGTTAATGACTCGTGAGTTGTGAGCTGTAATTACTGGCTAGGGTTGAGTTACTGAGCGTTGGTGGGTRCTGCAGAGCCTCACAGAGCAACGTGCCTCACACGAAGGTGAAAGCAAAGGAGCTCCTCTTCCAAGGAGCCATCTGTATTAACTGCTTACTCCTAAACCTCGAGGGATAGGATACCAAAGATATTTGTGGTCAAATCTTATTTCATAAAATATACATTTGTGTTTTTCAATCTTTAGCATTAAACATGAGTCTGAGAGGTTCTTGACTGTTTGCTGCTCATTACTACTAAATATGCCTGTAAACACTCACGATAAACTCTGAAGTCAATTGCATGGAAAAAAAAAGGTCTCTTTCCTAAATATATTATTTTTCTCTTACTGGGCAGAGTGCAGTAGCTCTCRGGAATGCTGTGAACAGCTGAATGGTTCAAAGGCAGGAGCCTGTGCCTTGCAGACCCTTAAGTAGAGATAGTGCTTGGGCATAAACATTACCCTGACAATTCTGAAGTTTTGGGAAAAAAAGTTCATTTACTTTATTGAATGCACACTACATGTAGGGGTTTTTTGAGTGCAATTTTATGTGATATCTGTGCTCTGCCTTTCACTAGTTAACAAGCAGCTGCGGATGGAAACAGTTTGCGAAACGAGTGCAAATGTTTTTCAGAACGCTGTTTTCTAGCCAGTTGTTCGGGACAAATTAATGAGAGCCGAAGTGTCCAGGCCCTGTGTTTGTGCAACGGCAGCGTCAGCAAGATGCCGGGCTGGACGTCGCGGCGCTCTCGGGAACCTGGCGCGGGGCAATTTAGGTCAGGGCTGCTTTCCCTACGAGTTTCTGCCTTCCCAAAGGCTGGTGCGTCCCGAGGTTTGACTTGCAGGAGAGCCCAGTTATTGTTGGTTGAAGCTGAATTATGTTGCAGTAATGGTGTATAGACAAAAAGAGCTGATGGTGAAACACCTTGTCGCTGGTTTGTAGATGAGCCACGTGTGTGAGGAGCAGTTAGATAAAGTGTGGGCTCTGCTGAACATGGTTTCATTGACATCATTTATGTGCTCTGAGATTTTCATCTAAGGTGTATGCAGTATTTTGTTCTCTGTATTTGTAAAATAAACCGCCCTACTTTGTGTGTTGCAGGTTCTCTGGCACCTGGACATCTTCCGCCGCAGTTTCCGACAGATCACAACACACAAATGCATGGGTGATTCTTGCATCTTCTGTGCTCTCAAGGTAAAAAACTGTTGAGAATAAATCAAAAATAAACAGAAAAGATTGAACAAACAGAAATACTTAATTAACACCTGTAATTAATTAAACTTCCATCTGGAAATAGACGGGAGAGAAGGTAAATCTGATTATCTATCAGCAGCAGACCCTCATAAGATCGTGCCTCTTTTTCAGTATGATCATCCAGTGATTTATGAAAGCATTGTATGCAAAACTTCAGATAAATTGAGTCTCCTCAGATGAGTGTGGATCACTGTGAGCCTCTGCATTGTCAGGAAGATTAGTTCAGCCAATAAAACATCAGTTTTCTTGGTTTCTTTTTTTTTTTTTTTATTATTTGTCTGTTGGTTTATAGGTGTTTTTCTATATATAGTCAGTATTCTGTTCAGACTTTACCTTTACTCAACAGGCGCTTTTAATGTCAACATGTCAATTTTAAGCCTTTCTACTCAGAACTGTTGATGATGTAAGTCTAGGAGGCATTTAGCACTGTAAATATTGATGTCTGCATTAAATGGATAGCTCTTTGTGGCATCTCTTTTAGAGAATGCCAACTCCGCATTAAGATACACTAACTATCAGGGATATTGCCAAGACAGAAAGAGCCAGATGCTAGTTCACCCCTGATTCTAGGTACTGAATAAACTATGCCATCCTACATCTTCATTTATATCCTTCCAGTAATTTTGAGTGCCGGRGGATTTTTAGTGCCTTCTTCTTTAAGTTCTTCTGCTGCAACCCCGTAGTACCATCTAATCAGGTGGGAGAAATGGATGTGATCCAAAGCTGCTGAAAATACTGTCTTTAATCTACCTGAGCACTGACTTTTCCCTCTGAAATTGGAACTGAGGCATTTTCTTTGATCACAAGCAGGTTGTAAAATCTAAGCAAAATATTTAAGTGTGTTGTGGGAGAATTTATTGTGCTATGCATTCTGTGTGCAGTAATAAAAAAGACAGACAGCATATTTTATAAATATAGCAAAATAGAGGGAGAGTGCAAGGATTAAATTAACATCTGAAGGCAGTATTTATAGTATACTAGCTGTCTTTCTACTCTTAAGTGACTTTAAGGTGCTTTGGCAGAGACAAGCTTGAAATGAGAGATATCTAATGAACATTTGGACTGTCACTGAGGGGTTTTCCCTTGCAAAAGAACAGCAAAGTTGAGACTTAAGATGTGAAAGAAGGTAAGAAATATCCTTCTGAAGAGGAAGCTGTTAGAGGACTTATCTGGTGAAATAATGAGACAGGATGGTTTTTTACAGCAGTATTGTCAGAAGTGCTTGTTAAAGTAGTTTAGGAGTAAGATAGCATAGCCTAAGTGTGAATGCATCTATACAGAAAAAGGAAGGATGGAGTATAAAGTATATCCCTTTTGTCCTTCTAGGCAAGTGACATGACTTAGGCATGATCTGGTCTAAATTCATTCAGTTCAATGAGGTAAATGAGTTGAAGCTAACTCTTAGGTCATAGCCTTGGCTATCACAGCATGATTGGGGCTATTCTGTGGTAAGAAGAGGACAGAGAAAAGGATTTGGAAAATTATTGTGAAAATAGCTTGGGCTGTTTGGAGGTAAGATATGGCAAGAAGACAGCAGGAGGTCAGATGGGTCCTGCCATTTGGTTGGACTCAGAACTGTAAGATTTTAGTAGCAAGGTAAGAGTTGAAAGCTTGTATGGAGTGCTAACATTTAAAAGGGGCAGTRGGGAAAGGAAGGGTGGAGGGAAGAAGAAGGAAGAGGATGCTGCTTTGTGGAAATGGCACTGAAAGGTAGACTGGACAGAGATGCATTTGCGTTAGCAGTACTAGAATGAAGGGGGAAAGCATTGCCAATTGGCTAGAGGATGTCAGAATCTTTGGAGCAGGTGAAATAAAAGCAGACACAGGGTCAAGGAGGATGAAGATATTTGATTTTGTTAACAAAATCCTGGCTTTTGGTGTTTTGGCAAAGTGTACCATATGTTATTTTAAACTTGCAAGTGACAGGTAGAGTGGCAGAACTCGCAGACTGTGTGCCTGCAGCCATATGTTCACTTCTAAATTATGCAGCACTTGAAAAATTGTTCTGTCCTCTTACTCCCATGGATGTGTGTGTGATTTTATGTTTGTTTGTTTTCTGTTTCCTCTCTGAAGTTCTTACTAATGCTGTGTTTAGCCCAAAGGTGCTGCAGTCCGTATTTTCCATCGAAGCCATTGCATCACACAGGTGCCTCAGGTTCTTTTGCGTAGCTCCGAAAACTTGCATCTAGTTGTGTGCAGAACTCCTCGAGCTTGCAAAACTAAGAGTGTGCAATAAAAATGTCTCAGTTAATGCATAAACAAGTCGAGAATTTTCTTGAGAAGTGTTTCTGAATGTAGGCAGTAAGCAGTACTTGACAAAATAAATAAATCAAGACCGGCTTTAATCCAAGCCATAAATGCCAGTCTTTTCACTGTCTCCAGTCTGTTCTTTATGGGAAATTTCAGCATGTTCAGTCCAAGTTTATTCCAGAGCCTCCAGAAAGTTTTCAGACATCAATTCTTAAATTATGTAAGAGCAAAAARTGGGTAGAAGACTTTGTTAGAAGTCATAGGACTGCTTCCATCCGAATTTCTTCGTGCTTGTTAACTTCAAATAGAGCACCTCACAGTTCTGGGTTTTTCTGTGGTTGGTGCAGTTACAAATTTCCACCATTATTAATTTATGTGAAATATTGGTGCATTTAGACAAACATTTGAGAATTTTCCCTGTTTCCACGTTCTTACCAAGTAAAATATTATTATAAAGACATTTAGTAAAGGTTGGCAGTTACCTCTAATGCAATTGCAAGTGCGTGTTTCTCGCCCAAGTGCAGTGGGGGATAATCCCTTCCCTTTCCTTCCCTGTTCAGGTTCCCCCATGTGCCCTGCCAGCCCGTTGCAGTTGTCCTGCCAGGCAGYGTCTAGCTCAGCCTCCCAGCCTTGGACCAGTGGTGTCTTTTTCARCATGTTTTTACTCTCGATTAGAGAACCTTCAGCTTGGCTAAGGTGAGACTTGGCTGGAGCCGCTGGGGACCCAGGAATCCGGAGCGCTCCGCCAGGTYGAAACCTCCCTCTAGGGCCGTTATCCTGGGTGCTGTCACGGGGTTCTGCCCACGGTGCCARTGCAGACCAAGCAAAAGGGAAGCAGGACAAGTTCAAGCTTCTTCAAAGCCTTCCAGCATGTTGAGATGCCAGCTTAGCCTGGGGAATGGCAGCGCTCGGGGTGGAGAGTTTGTGTCCGAACCGCGAGGTTTCCCTCGCACGCGTCCCCAGAGGAGACCCTCTCTTCCCGTTTACTTCAGAGGAAGAAGAGCTTCCCTACACTAAGTTTAGCCTTTGCGAATAGCACTCTAAGAGGGTTTTTTTTCCCGTGCTTACGTGGATTGCTACAATCATTTCTAGGAATTCTGATATCATACAGAGTATTTGCTGTAAATGCAACTAGTTYTATAAATATTATATAAATAGCATTTATAGTTTTGAGTTGCTTGTAGWTATAAAAAGAAAGATCATGGGGCTGTTGAGTAATGCATCTGATACTAAATCAAATAGTAGTGAGGATACTTGTGGCACAAATTTCTGAAGTGAAGTAGTTTTAAAGCTGGCTGTCTGACCTGTCCATATTCATTTGGCTGTAGATTAAACCTTGAAATCGTTCTATACAAGTTTTTTGGCATTTTGAAGGAATTTTGTATGAACACCTATAAAAAGTCAAGGAAAAACTGCAGGCTTTCTACGGGAATCCCAAGGACTGTTCCTTAAGGAGCTGTGGCATTATTCATATGCCTGGCATAACACCTGAAACAGCTTTTTGATTTATTATTGATGTTGAAGTCTACTGTGCTTTTTTTTTTTTTTTTTTTTTTTTTTAATTTTCATTTTCTAGAGCATGTCTTTGCTTTGGTGTTTGTTTATCACAGCTGGAAGGGGGGCAGGAAGGGGGAAATCCGTCCACTGTACTGAGCTTGCCACGGAGAGTTTGTTCTCCTTCCAGGGATTGTGCTTGGAGCTCTCTAGTGCCAGGATATAGGACAGAGTGTGTTTTGTTGTGCACAAAGAAGAATGCTCTATTGATTGATAAATTCCAGCAAGGCTGTTCTTTCTGCAGTTTTGTCATGTGCAACAAAAGCAGGAAGAATGTGAATTTTCTGTGTAGAAATGATGTTGTTTTCTGAGGTGAAAACTGAGAACAATAGGGTATCGGAATGCTTTATAGGAAAGGAATGGCTCTAATTCATGCTTCTCATTAGACACTGACTCCAAATGGACGATCTGTTAGGAAAAGTTTACAGAATGAGTGAAAGAATAAGTAATAGGTTAGTTGCAAAGATTTCATGCTTGTATCTTTTGCTCTTTCCGACTCAGGATTAATAGAACAGGGTAGAACAGTAGCAAAAGTGTAAAATTTCTGTCGTTTCTTTTTTTTTTCTTTTCCCTCCATTTTTTCCACTTGGGGCAATTAGCTGCCTAGCAAATAATRTGGACTGAAATGTTTGTGAAAGAAAATGCAACAAAAAAGTCTATAAAGGAAAGGAATAAATGGAGTATCTAAGTTTGCTGTTAATCAGGCTGGGAGATTCAGCAAGACCTGCAGAGGCACAAAAGCATATAAGGCCAGAAGTATTTGGGTCCTTGAAGGCAAGTATAGCATGAGGAAATCCAAGGATGAAATGGGGATCAGTGGGAGTACTATGGGTGGAGGTTGCTTGGATGACACAAAAATGATCTTAGATTTTGGGTTATTTTGTTTTGTTTGGAAACATGTTCTTGAACTGCATCAGGAGAGGAAAGCATCATGTTCTGGATGAAAGATTAGATCCTGTGGACAGGAGCGGGGGGAAAAAAAAGTCAGGTGAGTGTAATGGAATAAGGAGAACATGCTCTTGAAGTTGAAGAGAAAGTTTAAAAAAAAAAAACAAAAAATCCTGTCCTGGCTGAGTGACGGCAAGAAAAATGTTAACATGTTGACCAGTGAGAGACAGGTGAGAATTATTTGTGTTAGTGCGTGTAACTTTTGCTAAAATGAAGAAGCTGATTAAAATAAGAGACCGCTAAAGCTGTTTGGAGGAATATGTTTCTTTGAGAAAAAGCTTCATGGTGCTAGAGCTGCCGCAGCTCCAGAAGGAGCTCCTGTACAATGCTGGAAGAGGGGGAATTAGTCCAAGTCAAACTTCCAGTCCGTATACAGCAGTCTACTTCAGGGGTTGTTGTCTTGCCTGTTGTCTTCATCCATGCATTTGTTCTCATGCCAGCCRGCTTCTACATGCTTGATTAAGGAGTCATATGTGCATATGAGCAAGTCTGAGGTCTGTTCCATCAGGCTGGTTAGATACATGTTACAGATTTCTGTTTACTCCAGATGATTGAATGACTCTTCCCTAGGGAGACAGAGGATTACAAACACAGGGGATCGGTTTAGAGCAGATACTGTAGATTGTAGGGGGGATTCAGAGATATTTGAACCTCCACATATTTCAAAGTAAAATGCAAAGACAAAAACGTTGATTGCTCACATTACCACCAGTGCCAATTACTATCTTCATCCTCTGAACAAATGAAGTGCAGCTCATTTTATGATGATGCACATGAATTTTAGAAATTTATAGTAGAAAGACGGGTTTTAGCTCTAATTATTGTATGTTAAGAAGCTCTTGTCTCAAACGTTACATTGTTTTCTGGAGATTTAGAAAGCTTGTGTTGATTTGTGCACTTCCCAAACTAGGGATCTTGGCAGGGATGAAGAGCACCAAGTCTGGAAGACTTTGTTTTGCTGTGTCAGAAGCCCAAACATGTAGTAGATAGAA